TTCCACTTAACCACTCGTGGTAAGCTTAAATTGCTTGTGTTACGAGTGGTTCACGCCAGTAGTCGAATGTCGGATTCGAACCCACGAACTTTTTGAGTTAGCGGTCCACGCCCTGCCATTAGGCTATTGTCGCTTTAACTTTGACTTCCATTTGGTATTATCCTGACATATCTCTCGCTTCTTATGCATCACGCTCATTATATAATATCTACACAAACATGCTTGTCTGTTGATGTATCGTCAAATTGTTTGATACACTTTCAAGCTTGAAGTCCAATTATCTTGTTTCAAAAAGAAAGCTTTTGTACGCTTGCACGTTTGTGCGTTTACATGTTACTTAATTTTTTGTTTCGAATGTCAATATAAAAAATTATGTCATATCTACAAACTGGTAAAGTTTTTATTAAAATCGATTCTGTACTTATTTTAAAAATAAAAAATTGAACTATCATCCCGAAATTGGAAGTCAATAATATGGACCTGGCATCCATACGTAATATTTTTTTTTAATTATTCACAGATTACTCTTGTCCTTATATTCATATGGATGTAGCATAAAGTAGCAAATTAAGGTTATCACTCGATTATCACTATTTCACTATATATTTTTTTAATTTGGTTTTATTCAGTGGCTATCGCCAGCTACTACTACTAGGTTAAAATGTGTTGATACCATTGTTTTAATTACATGTTGTTTTCACATAAACATGCCTTTATGATTTTATTTAGTGAACAAGGTCTAAAGGCTTTAATTATGTAAAACATTAAGTTTTTTGGCTGAAAATCATTCACAAAATATAACTGGTTACACCATATCTTAATCGGATTAAGGATTATAACATAATAAAATGCCAATTATGATATCTAGATAAGTAATATTAGAATAAAATGTTAATTGTGCTTAGAGTGTGTGTTTGTAAATTAAAAAAAATACTATAATTTTTATACAACTGATAATAAAATAATAAATTGTAATATCAAATATGTAATTAAGATATACCTAAGGGTCAGTTCACTCCGCGACGCGACGATGCTTGAAGAGGTCATTGGTTTCATATCGCGACGTGCCACCGCTAGACGGATCGCGACGTCACAAGGCGCATCGTTTAGTCGCTGCTGGCAGCGTATCACATTAGCACGCTGCGCCTACCGACAAAGTACCGCTGCGTCGATGCGCTGCGCTACGACGAGATTTTAGAATTTTCTTAATAAAATGTGTAATCTTTTTATGTAGTAAATAAAGGTATATTTTGTATTACTATATTAAAAAGTGCGCGCCGCAGTGGCGTCGCATCACTTCTCGGTGTGAGCTGACCCTAAACCTTAAGTTAATATCAGGGCGGCATTAAGTTCATACAATCCGTTTGTATCTTCATCTGTTTTACTTTGAATTACTTTAAAACAAGCAATCTCCTAAAATTATTAAAATTGCTCAGATTAACATTACCAGACATCATGTAAACAAACTGAACGAACATAATATACCGACATATCCATCATTCTTCTTATATTGTTCTTTGAATGGAGTATAACGAGGAGGATACGATATGAAGATTTCGTCAACTTTTCACAGGTATAATAGGCCAGTATATTCTGCCTATGGATATAATCAGTCCGAGCTACAGTTGTCTCTCTCGGCTGTCTATCTCGGTCTTTCAATCTGAATGCGAATAGATGAAAAAGATAAAAGATTTTATTTCTATTCTTCAAATGCCTCGCCACCTAGATGTCCTCTTGAGGTTGAATATATTGTAGTGTTAAGTGAAAATATCAATACATGTACAACAAAAATATTGATGTAATTTGTTGTCAATTGAAAAATAACTTTTTGAACATATATAAATAAGGTTAGAAAAGACTTGTGTTTACAAAAGACAAAAAATATAAAAACTAGATATAAGAAATAATATTATACTAGAAATTTGCTGTAATTTTATATATAAATAATATTTTTAAATACAAAATTAATTTCAAATGTTTGAACTTTTCGATCTTTTATAAGTCTGATTATGTTCGCTACGATCTCTTTAGTTTATCATAAGCACGATGACATATTGGAATTAAAACAATCCAATAAATGAAAAAGGGATTTCTGGGTTCGGGTTCTAAGCAAGATGAAATGTAATCCAAATAGTCCTTATATATATTTATTAACTGATACTCAATGTGAAAACAATTGTTGTAATACAAAATAAACTGAAAGGCGATTTTGTAATTATTCATTAATAAAATGATCCAAAAAATAGTGATTTATTGCAAAATGCATGAACATAATTTTATAATTTAAAGTAAAAATTTCGCATGCATGTGAACATTTGTACAAATATACTTGTACCTTCAATATTCTTTCTTTCTCTCTCTCTCTCTCTCTCTTAAGGTCTCAGTCCCTACTTTGACAAATGTGTCCGATTTTTCACTAATGACTTGTTAAAATTTTCTCTGTTTTTACTATAATATTTGGTGAATATGCAATCTTCAAATTATTGCTTTCTATTTTCTGGATGTTAACGCTGTTAGTCTATGCGAATCTTACAGTTTCATCTGACGCAGAGCTAGTATTACTTTACACTTGTCAACCCGTACCCAGGAATGTGTAAAGAGCGTCAAGCCAGAAATTTATTATTTAAAAAAATTAGGAAGCAATTTATATGTAATAAATTACAATTAATTATTTTCTGATCAAATTACACGCTGAAAAATTAAATAATAAAAATGTACTTATAGAAATATTTATTTGTAAAATCAAATTTAATAAGATTTAGAAAATAGACCAAAGTAAATATTTTATATTGAACACTTTGATGATATGGTTTAATAGAAGTTACCGTGGAAGTATTTTTAGTGTAAACCACTGTTGGAATAAAATAAATGTGAACTGATATATTACATAAGCGTTTTATTTACTCACATCATACAATACAATTGTGCCGGGTGGTGGCGGCTTGAGTTAATCCGTCAACCCCTAACGTCCCTTGGATTCAAGGGACGTTAGGGGTTGACGAAATTCAAGGTACATTAAGGTACCCGAAATGGAAATTTAACCTCATCATTGTGACTGTACACAATAATTCTTAAGATAATAATAATGTCCTCCAGACTGAATTCCGGTCACGATGGCCTGCCTCAACGGAGGCATATTAAATCTATACTGTAATTGAGTAGTGGTGGTGTATAAATATCCACGGCTCCATATCGTTTCGTGGGTCTCATTAGAGGCGACCACAGAGTACTTTCTAATATATTGAAAGAGGCGACGGAGGGAAACTGAAACAGGAAATGGGGAGCAACATCTTTTTGATAACACAAAATTTAAAAAAAAAAACTACAGTACCTTCAAGCGTGAAAACAAGGAATGTTCCTATAGTTGTAATTTTTATTTCCTAGTTTTTATTTTTATATTTTTATAATCTATGGGCGAGGCTGTGGACTTTTACTGTAATGAATGGAAGGATGCATTCTATACTATGAACCAAGCAGCTCCTGTCTGTTTATCAGTTCTCTAGAAATTTACTTTGAGCAAATTTCATCGTTTTGAATATTTAATATACAGAGAGATTTTATTTACCTGTAAGAGAGACAGTACAATCAAGGTATATCCAGCTACCAAATACCAACAATTCTGTAAGGGCGGTTTTGGATTGAAATCTAAGCCCCGCAATTTAGGAGGCAGACCAATAGATGCGCGGTCAAAATAACATCAAAGGAAGCTACTCTGGTAACCAACTTTCATATAAAATATAGTAATTTTGTATGTAAATATATGATAGATGTTAGATGACTGAAAATAAAAAATATAGTATATTTCAAATAAATATTAAATTTTTTAAAAGAACATTTTAACTGCTTTGAGCTTTTATAAACAACCTCATGCTGTAGTCAGCCTTTATTAAAATATAGTAATTTTGTATGTAAATATATGATAGATTTAGATGATTGAAAATAAAAAATATAGTATATTTCAACTAAATATTTAATTAAAAAAAAAACATTTTAACTGCTTTGAGCTTTTATAAACAACCTCATGCTGTAGTCAGCCTTTATTAAAATGTAGTAATTTTGCTGTCCATTTAAAATCTTAGTGTTTGAACTCGACAGGCCCCTTGACTCAACGAAGACAAACTAACTGCACGGGACTGTATAGTACGGTGTAGTGTGCAAGCACAGGTGCGCTATCTATTCTTTCACTCTCATAGTCCAATGAGACGGTGATCAGAAATAATAGAAAATCAGGCGCAGGTACAACGGCTAAACATGCTTTCCGAGGTACATAGTAAAAAAGTCAACTTCCTGACTTCCGGAATGCTGCTGAGAATTTCTTGACTGAAAAACTCATTAACTGATTTTGGTCCGACCCGGGATATGAACCCGGGACCAAGTGATCAGTTGCCTTCATCTTATACCTATATTATTTTCTTATAAATCAAGTTACATAGGGCCAATAAAAGTTATCCACTTTTTACATTTAGCAAGAATCAAAGTTAAAACTTACGACTATTACCATAGTATAGTTACAGAGTTAAATTTATAACTCATCACATATGGAATATCATAAAACTGCATAAATATTTACAAGTGACTTGTTTGTTTGGAATAACTATAAAGAAACATTGTCTTTTTAATTAAATATATCTTATGTTTACTTAATTTCACGAATTAAATCGCGTTTAATTTTGCTTATTTTAAATAATTTTTATCTCGTGGTGTTTCAGATTTGCAGCACCTATGGTCACGGAGAATGAGGTGTTCCGACACCCAGTAGTCATAATTAACCTGGACTACCTTCAGTTTTAAATTAAGACGTCGGAATATAAATAAGTATAATTAAACACGAAAAAATCCATTTATTTTGCTTCATGCAATGTCTCTAAAATTTGTTTATTTCGTGTCACTGGGTAATAATTTGGCCTTGCCTGGGTAAATAGACCACAAAGAAACGTGGCGGACTATATCATATATTTAATTAATATATTACCTTTCTTTAGATTAATAGGCAAATCAGATCACAGCTTTATATTCCCCTGCACAATATCATTATACAGTTTATCATTTACAGGTACATAGCTTTCTGTCTTTTGATCTAGAAAATAAATAGGATCACTGTTTAGTGAAGGATTGTAGCCCTGTTCAATCAACTCTTTCTTTTTCAACTTGAAAGTGGCCGTGAGGGGCGGTTCTGGAAGTATCCTTAGAAATAACGGTCTTGCGAAAACTGGTAGTGCTGAAGTCATGCCCTTGGCGAGCTCGGTGAGGTTCAGTTTATTATCAGGGTCAGCGATAGCGGCCATCCCAGCTTTGCCTTCCACATGTGGGATCTGCAATAGACATAATTACATGAATGTATTGGCGCCTGAATATTGTAGAACCTTGATAGCTTTGGGGTGGGGTCAAACCGTGTGGCAGGTCAGGCAGTGTAAGAATATATACCCATCCCTTGGGTGTCGTAAGAGGCTACACAGTGAAACTTAATTTGGGCACCATTATCTTCCTGATACTCGTAAATACAGAAAATTCTTAAAACTGTGGTTGCCAACCCCCCTGTCAAGGGTGGCACTAACGGTAAAACAACCCCTTTAAAACAATCTACTGGGAAGGCTTATGTTCCGCAGTAAAGTTTTATAGTCTGTAATGAATGAATTATCTCGGGTTTAATCTCCACCGGCACCAATGAAATTGTAAATTTAAATTTTAAGTGCTGAAATAACACCTGCACACGTCATAATGAAACCTGCTTATCTGAGGAATATAAATTTCAAGGACATGAGTGGCACGTCATTATGAATTCGAGCAGCGCTGAGCGATCGAGTACTGGGCACGGCCAATATTTATCTATTTATTTAATCTTTATTGAACAAACAACATAGGATCAAAAGGCGGATTTAATGCTTAAAGCATGCTCTGCCAGTCAAACGTACAACAAAGAACATATAAAAATATATACATAAAAACATACTTACACATCAAATAAAACCCAAGAGAATGAAATAATGTTAATATACATACATAGAATACACACATACATATAAACATTAACACAAATATATAAATACGAGTATATATCATAAGAATTTTTAATTTTAGGAAATAAGTCCGATCATTCGTCTTAAATGTTTTGTTTGGTGGTTGTCTTAACTTGGCACGCGACTTGGACATATAGAAATTGAATTGAAGATTCAAACCTATATTTAAAGATATAAAACCCCAACAGTATGGGGTATACGAGTAAGAAAGTGTCTCGCAGGAACTGAAACTTTTGTTTCAAATAATTCGGATACTATTTGCTATCGTATTACTTTTTACTTTATTAGCTACTTTTTACATATTTCATTGCCGTGGGATGGTGACGTAAAATAATCCATCACCACATTTCGTTTCATGAGTACCATAGGAGGCGACAATTACTACTCCTACTAATGCTAGAAAAAAATCTTATATTTTCCGATAGATGGCGGTATTACGTTACATAAATACTCAGACCGGCAACGGGCAGCAGCATTAAATGTGCGAGAAGTCCGGCACTAAGATCGTGGACAAACCATCGCCAAATGTGACAATTATGGCAAGTCTTTCAACTAAAAATTACCAATATATTTAGGGCAACTTCTATACACTAAAATTATAATTTTTAAATACAGCCATCATCTTTAACACAACAGCGTACCAATAGTCCACTGCTGCACATAACCCTCATAGATTGCTTCATATATTCCATCATCATCACAGCCTTTCACAAGTCCTCTGCTGCTGCTGAATTTGCTATGTGGCATTCCTCGACTGAGGCCATAGGTCTCGCTCAAGAAATGCAACGAAGCACGGCCCTAGGCCACCTGTATTCATCGAATTCCTGCATGTCTTACCAGGTTTTACTTCACCTAGTGGGTGGTCACCCTACATTTCGCTTACCGGTACGAGGCTGCTACTCGAGAACCTTTCTTCCCCATCGATTGCGAGTCTAGAGCTATTTGGCCTTGGATTGAAGGATATTTGCCGCCATAGCCACGTTAGGTAGTTGTGATGACCACCATATTTTTTTATTAATATGAGTTGTCAGAAAGTTATTGCTGCTCATATTCTTTTTCATTTCCCTCTGTCGTCGCTTACGACATCCAAGGGATAATATGGAGTGGTATATATTCTTACAGTAAATTCGTATTTAATTCGGTTAAACATGGTAGAGTCACGCTGCATGTATATTATGGCTGTATTACGAATGAGTCGCCTCGATCGGAGAAGGACCACGCTCTCACAGAATACCAACATTAAATAGCAGCTTGCTGTGTTTCGTATGGTGAGTGTAGAGAACCGGAGACCCTTTTTTATTGGAAACGAGCAATCTTGCCATGTAGTGGCGGTTGAGAAAATACCCCATATCTTCCCGTGAGTGTCGTAAGAGGCGACAGAGGGAGGCAGGCAGGAGATGGGCAGCAACATCTTCCTGATAACAACAATGATATAATAAAAAACTGCGGTTGCCAACCCGCTCGCCAAGTGTGGCAACTATGGCAAATATCCCCCCATGAATAACGACGCAAACAAACGGCCCCCAGTCCCCGGTGGCCCCGCTATTCCTGGCTACGGTGGCGACCATGGTAACGGCGGGGCAGGGGGTGCTAAGAATCTCCGGTGGAGGTTCGGTTGCCACCTACGACGACTCGACCTGGCAACGTATAACGCACGCACCCTGAGGACTGACGAGAAGATACTGGAGATGGAAGAAAAGGTAGACAAGTTGCGCTGGCATGTTATTGGATTATCCGAGGTCCGAAGAGAGGGGGAGGCCACGGTAATCCTCGAGTCCGGTAACTTGTTCTATCACCGGGAGGGCGACCATCTGTCCCAAGGAGGTGTCGGATTTATCGTCCACAAGTCTCTCGTCAACTTTGTAAAGATTGGGAGTGGTCGACGAGGGTCGCGTACCTGATACTCAGAATCACCAAAAGGTATTCGCTGAAGGTCATACAGGTTTACGCACCAACCTCGGCATATCTCGATGAGCAGGTGGAGGAAATTTATGAGGATATTTCCAGAGCATTCCTCTAAAACCCACTACACGGTGTTGATAGGAGACTTCAACGCAAAACTAGGCACAAGAGAAAGCGGTGAGCTGAAGTTAGGGAAATTTGGAGTAGGGCAACGGAACCGAAGGGGCTAGCAGTTGGCCGACTTTATGAAGAAAGAGTGACTCTTTATGATGAACTTTTTCTTCCAGAAGTGGCCCCACAGGAAGTGGACTTGATCGAGCCCCTACGGTTCGACAAAAAAGAGATTGACTTCATTATGACAACCAGACGCCAAATGTTCAGTGATATCTCAGTGATCGCAAGGGTGAAAACTGGCAGCGATCACTGAATGGTTAGAGGCACACTGAACCTACATTAAGTTGGAGACGTCTCGTCTAATGAAGTCAACGCTCCGTCCCCCTCATGCTCTAATCCAGTATCCCGAAACCTTTTAGCTAGAGTTACGTAACCACTTTCAGTGCCTAGAAGATTGCAATGCAGTGGACGATATGAATGACAAGCTCGTGGAAACTGTGCATGCGGTCGGAGCTAAGTTCTGCAAGACCCTCCGCAGAACACAAAAACTCCCCGATCATACTCTTAATCTCATGTTAGATGGGAGATGAGGCTGCAATCGTCAACAGATTTGACAGCATACAGGCAACTGAACAGACAGATCTCCAAATGCATGAGACGAGACTTACGCAAATTTAATACTGCATGTATTAAAGAAGCGATTGAGCGGAACCAGGGCTCCAAAGTCTTTGTAAGAGATCTGTCTGCCAGAAAGAGCCAACTGTCAAAGCTGAAGACTGAATGTAGCAGCATCGTTTCCGGGACATCTGAGATTTTGAGTGAGATTGAGAGGTTCTATAGGCAGCTGTACACATCATCGTTGGAGCCACACGCAAGTGTGAGTAACGATCCAAGAGCAAGTCTTATCCTACATTATTCCGATGATATCCCGGACGTCAGTCTGAGCGAGATTAGAATGGCTTCTGAGCCGCTTCTACATGCTGTTTTCGAGAGTCATTACAAATCGTCTCGCACGCAGACTCGACGATTTCCAGCCTCCTGAACAAGCCGGTTTCCGAAAAGGCTTCAGTACCATAGACCACATACAAACCCACCGGCAGATTGTACAGAAGACCGAAGAGTACAATCTGCCACTTTGCCTGGCATATGTGGACTATGAGAAAGCCTTTGATTCCGTCGAAATTTGGGCGGTGCTACAGTCCCTTCAGCGGTGCCAAGTTGACTGTCGGTATATCGAAGTGCTGAAGTATTTGTACAGTAGGGCTACGATGGCTATCCAATTACAGAACCAGAGTTCGAAACCTATCCAACTGCAGAGAGATGACGTTATATCCCCGAAACTCTTCACCGCTGCATTGGAAGACGTTTTCAAGCTACTGAACTGGAAAGGATACGGTATTAACATCAATGGCGAGTACGTCACTCACTTTCGATTTGCCAACGATATAGTCCTTATATCGTCGGCAGAAATCGCTGGAGGACCTTAGCACTATGCTCAATGACCTCAATTGTGTCTCCCAACGGATAGGTCTTAAGATGAACATGGAAAAAACAAAGATCATGTTTAATGTCCATGTCACACCTATGCCGGTAGTTGTTGGGAGCACTATGCTCGAAGTTGTTGACGAGTACGTTTACCTGGGACAAATAGTCAGACTAGGTAAGTCCAACTTCGACCGAGAGGTCAATCGACGGATTCAACTCGGCTGGGCAGCGTTCGGGAAATTACGACACATCTTCTCGTCAGGTATACCTCAATCTCTGAAAACTAAAGTGTACCACCACCAGTGCGTGTTGCCAGTGATGACTTACGGATCTGAGACGTGGTCCTTCACTGCTGGCCGTATGAGGACGCTCAAGGTCGCTCAGCGAGCTATGCTCGGAGTTTCTCTGCGTGATAGGCTCAGAAATGAGGATATCCGCAGTAAAACCAGAGTGACCGACATAGCCCAACGGATTAGTAAGCTGAAGTGGCAATGGGCCGGCCATATAGCTCGAAGAACCGATAACCGATGGGGAAGAAAGGTTCTCGAGTGGCGGCCTCGTACCGGTAGGTGTAGTGTAGGGCGACCCCCTACTAGATGGAGTGACGACCTGGTAACACATGCAGGAAGTCGATGGATGCAGGTGGCTCAGGACCGTGCTTTGTGGCATTACTTGGGGGAGGCCTATGTTCAACAGTGGACTTGTGAAGGGCTGTAATGATGATGATGATAAGCAATCTTATTCCTCAGGTGTGACCGCGCATCTGCATTTTGATTCCTAATTGACGATAAATGTAGATTGTCTGTGGGCCACAGCATCCACTTACCATCAGGTGGACTATGTGCTCGTTTGTTAATCTTATTCTATAAAAAACATATTTGACTTACAGTAACACCGTAGACGACAGTATCTTTCAGGCCTATTAAATTACTGATCACGCCTTCCACCTCAGCCGTGGACACATTTTCGCCACGCCATCTGGAAGGTTACCAATAGGCAGCTGTTATTAATACATACTTGACACTTGCTGACAGTACTCTACTTTATATTGAACCTGTGATGCGAGAAATAGGCCTTTTAGATATTAGTGAGGATTTTACCGTATTTGCAACACGACGACGATGTTGAATTTGACCGTGTTGTCATCAACTGTAACTGCCGTATTATAAGGGATACTGAACTATTGTGTTGCGTTAACGTACACGATGACAACGCTTCTATAGCGTCAATGGACGGAAAAACAAACGAAGCTGTAAATCTCTCTTTTGAAGAAGACTCTAAGGGTCACAGCTCATTAGAGCCACCCGGCACCCAACCCTCTCCGCCTCGTCACCGGGCGTCCACTCGTAGTCGACAGGTGGACCACGGGTGGACGCCGCGTTGTGTCTAGTGAACCTCGCGTGGTCATCGAGTGGACCTCCCGTCGTCAACGAGTGGCCCTCGCGTGATCAACGAGTGATTCTTAAATCATACAATAAATTATACTTCCGAACTTCTTCTATACGTTTTTCTTTGTTCATTTTAAGAAAATACAACAATGCGTCCGACACATTCGAAATGAAGACTCGAAATGAAAGGTTGGTTGGTGGTGAGCGCCGCATCGCACTCGCGTGAACCGCGCGTTGCCAGCCCGCGCTTCACGCGAGGCAGGCTTGCCAACAGCGAGCTATCATCGAGTGGTCCACTCGTTGTAGGCGCGTGGATACCTCGCGAGCGAGGCGATCCGGTGATGGTACGGAGTTGATGTAGTGAGCGCAGGTCCATACAAGTCCATACGAAGAATACGAACCGCTTAAGGCGAGGCGGTGAGGGTCGGGTGCCGGGTGGCTTTATGAGCTGTGACCTTGAATCTCGCTATCGAAGTTTCTGAACGTGGCTTAATATAACAAGCTTCATACTACAAAGAGCATTAACCACTCACCGGGCCCCAATTTATCTAGGACGTGATTACACCTAGTAATAGCGACGAAATCTTCGGAGCTAATATTCATTTAAAAAAAAATGGCAGTCGCAGGACTGCACATCACAAGTGAAAACGTCACAAACTTGTAAATTATTTCAGGGTTGTTAAGAAATATTTTTAGAAAATATTTTTACTAAATATTATTTTTACGTTTTAATATAGAACTAAAATGTTCGTTTATTACGCATTTTTACACGAAAAATCTCTATCTATTATGTATATAAAACTAACAATTTTATAAATATACATATATCGCTTTTATAAAATATAATCAATTGGATTTTTTTCATAACTTTCATCAATTTTGTGTATCAGAGCGTAAGAGTCGCGCGAGCTCAGTGCATTTTCCTCATCACAAAAGTGCCCAACGTGCCTAAAGAAGATTTCACTTTAAAAATATTTCTATAGGGTTAGGGTCTTACCGGAATGTATCGCCAGTCCGATCCTTAAAATAGAAATATCCATAGTGGTCCATGACGAGGATATCGCCAGTGTTAAAGTAACAATCATTTTCGACCCTCACGTTGCGGACCATTTTCTTCTCCGATGCTGTCTTGTCAGCGTAGCCAGAGAACGTCAAGATTGCCTTCTTTGGATCAATTTTACCAAGAAGTAGACCTGAAAAAAATTAACTATTTGAGTAAAGTGAATGGAAAGTAAAAAGAAAGCAAATTTTCACCACGGCCACAACATAACATAGCACATGAACCAAATGTCATAACAGTTTTATTTTATTATTAATACTAGCAAGCTGCCTTGTTTTCGCAGAGGTGATTTCTAGATCTCGACAACAGCGTTACCTACCGTGAGAGAGGCTATTTGAAAAAATGTCTACGTCCTTTTTTTTCTGGAGCTCATTGTGTTGTCATTGCAGCCTGTTCAAGATCGCGTGATGACCGAGATAGCTTTTGGATCCCTTGGTAGAAAATGATTTGAATTTTTCTTTTCACGAGATTTTATAGGGTGTATTAAGCCGAACCTGTTCCAACAGTTCGGGGCAATTCGAACCACCTCTTACAATTTTATATAAAAACAAATGATCTAATATAAGCTTCCTATTTTTAAGCTTTTCATTTTGAATTTTGAAATTGAAAGTCTATCGACGTACGAGGGCAACTTCTTAGCTAGACCGGATTGAAATGAGATATGCCATAAAATTTTTTTTGCCCACGTTCTAGTCGCTTAACATACACTTCGTAGTGTTGTGACCAAACCGGGCTGCAATACTCCAAAATCGAACGAACATATGCGATATATAATAAAATTTTAGTAGCTTATTTTAGTTCTTTACAGTAACGAATCCTAGCATATTAAAGGCCCTACATGTTATGTCCTCAATGTGTTTGTGAAAGCGAAGTTTTTTCATCTAAAATAACGCCTAGGTCCCGGATAGAATCTACCTCTTTAAGTTGTTTTCCATTGATGTGGTACGAAGGTGATGCTTGCAACGTGTGCCGTGAAAATATAATAAAATTACATTATTCAACATTTAGTTCCACTCGATTTTGAATTTATTGTTCAATTAGTGGGAAGTCTCATGTCCAGCTGTATGTTGTTTACAAAACCAGTAGGAAGATTGAAACACGATGAATAGTATCAAATTGGTATAATTAAAAATACCTGGTTCATGTGGACCACAAGTAATGCATCTCCCATTTTCGTCCCTCAATATTTCTCCTGTTATCTCATCGCATCTGTGAAAATTGTATTATAATCTCATGTAATTATTGAATAAAATGTATTTATGATCTATGATTTTTCATTAAACTCTGAACGTTTAGTTGCGGTGTAAGAATATCCCATATGGTCTCTTGTCACAAGAGGCCACAGAGGGAAGCAAACCAGGAGTGAGCAGCAGCGTCATCATAATAACTAAAAAATTGTTACGAGCTTAGGGTTAGTGACAATAAAAACTGCCGATTGAATTACCAAAATGGACACTTTAATTGTCAAACACCAATGAAAATTTAAAATACACTAATAATTAATCACACTGATCATTTTAGTATCGCCAATTCAATACTGCTCCGGTCGCGGCCCTCAATAGTTTTTAATAGGCCTTTTCCACCGAAACATCCAGAATGTTCCAGCAAATACCGGTCCCGACCGACTAGATGTAGAGTATTTGAGTGTGGACTTTTCTAGAAAGCTTAATTCCACTATAAGCTACTAGATGGCACTGTTGGTGGAAAGTTCTAGAAAGATCTTGACACTTCTATTTCTGATACTCGATACCAGATGGCGCTATTGCCATCAACTGTGGCACGCAACAATATGAAACTGCGTTTGCCAATCCGCTTTCCATTCATGGCACTTATGACCAATGTGGTGTCTTTGCTCATAGTCATCTCTTACCACATCCACGAGATGAAATGGGGTAATAAATTGTCTTCCATTTCCACCACGGCACCACCTCGCATTCTATAATGCCATTAAACTTGTATAGTAAAGAACGTCCCACTTCTCGGCACAGGCGTATTATTGCTGAGAGATCTATGGAGTGGTTAGTACGTCGCACTGCTCCATTATGTGTTGGTGAACTTCACATGTTATGTGTATTGCTGTATGTATATGTTTAGTAAGCCCCGCACGTTGATATTGCGATAGGACCTTGTCACAATAACAGCTGCGTGATGTCATCCACCGCGAAAAAAGTACAGACAACAAAAACTTTAATCTTCTTTTCGTGTGAAGTGTTGCCACCTTTGGTGAAAAAAGTTAATAACCTTGGGTTATAGGTATTTATATTATACTAGCTTGCCAGGCACACGTTGTTCCGTCTTTTTCGAAGATCCTTTGTCATGTCCTATTAAAAATCCTTAAATTCGCAAAAAAAAATTGTGGGTCACTCATGGGCAAAAAAACTATCTTATCTCTCAGGTGTGACCAAACTGCACACAGTGTACAAATTTCATTAAAATCGGTTAAGGGGATATAGTAAGTCAGCTCAAATTCTAATTTCGCCCCCACTTCCCCGCGCGTTGTAAGCCATGTACCGGCATGTTTGTAATCACTAATACTGTAAGTAGATAGGTCGTTAGACACTTATTTAATTAGGTTTATCAAATTTATGCCTGTTTCTTAACGCCAACCACGCTTCTTATTTTTATTACGGTTATTTCCCATTTTAATTTTACGTCGTTCTGTTGTGTAATGTGTATTCTGATCGTAAGCGACACAATCTCCCCCTTCAAAGTTCCGAAGCGAAACTGACCGGGCGGCAGGAATCACGCTTCAAGAGGCCGATAGTTTAGGTAATTTCTTTTTACAGTGAAAATAATGGTATTTAAAAAGAAGTAAATAACATAAGCACTGCTTTATAGTTAGTCCAGTTAGTATGCAAAGTTTCATGATCTTATTTAAAGTATTTTATGAATAACAGCGGTTTATTGTTTATTTTGGAGGTAACTTTGGATTTTTTCTATCGAGAAAATTTTACGGAATCGTTTTTTCGTCTAACATACTCCTTAACATTAATCCTCAACTTTACCATATATTTATTTCAAAATTAATGCTGCAATATTTTCGGCATAACGGAGGATCTTGCTAAGCCATTTGAGGTTTTATTTCCCCTTAAGTTGTTTAGGAATCCATCGCGGACAAGCAACGTGACACGTAATTTATATGTATTAAAATTATATACATATATTCATAGGTATTTAATTATAAATATTTTCTTTCTCCTTTACAAAATAATTGTCCACTTTAATAATCATTTCACGAGCACGGCTGTTAATTACTTTCTTACTCGTTGTAACAGAAAAGTATGATAACAATAACAAAAATTAACAACAAAAATAAAACAGGATAACGAAAATAAAAAGCTATAAAAACACGTGGTAGAGGTACTCTATACGCGTAAGCGGTGGCTGACCCTACGGTCGCCAGTCGCAATATCAACGTGCGGGGCTTATAAGTATGTGTATATTTATGTATATGTTATTTCAAAGCCTCAGAGTCGCACTCCAACCATTTTATTCGTGAGGCAGCTACTTATGCAGCCCCACCCCCCTCTCGCTATCGAGTCCGCAGGCCGAGAAACTCTCACTCGGACCCGCCTTACATCAACACCGAACAACCTCCTGGCGGCTCAGGCCAACTCTAATTAAATTAAATTATTTATGCATAATTAATTTGCCTTCGTAGGCACTCCCTCAGCGGCTCGTAGCCGCCTGCACCCTCCTTTCCCAAAAGAGGGTCGCTCACGATACGGCACAATAAAGCTTAATCAGCCAGTTGCCAGTCCCTAAAGGCGGTTTTTCGAGGGAATCACTTAGGTTCCCCGGTAGGATGTGAGTCCCTCATAACCACGATAGACCGGCTATCGTGGTATGCGTAATGCATTTTCCGCCTCCCTACGTATAGGGTAGTCCTTTAATTGCTTCGGGCGCAAAATAAAGTATATGTTATAAATGTATGTGTGTGCTTATGTGTACAATATAGTGACTTTTTCTATTGATATTATATTATTAGTTATTCTCATTTTTCATTTTCTCATTTTATTTATATTGAAGTCGGTTGAACAAAATTTTTAATTTTACTACTTGTTTTATAAGTGTAGAAAGAAGGAGGAGTACGTGAACAATTAGGACGAATCTAGATCCAAAATAAAATTAGAATTTTACGCAAATATTGGGATAAGTATCAAACAGAGTACCGAAGACGTGTATTATAAATATTCTGCGTACATTTATTATCATATATTTACTTATCTTCTGAGATGCATTACAAAATTGCAATACATTTTTGCATTCTAGAATATAATATTTATAATGATAATTTATTACTTTAAAAATATTTATATATATATATATATATATATATATATATATATATATATATATATATACATAAACACTCACGCCTGTCACCCAGAGGGGTAGGCAGAGACTACGGACTTCCATTTGGCACGATCCTGACATACCTCTTTCGCCTCCTTTACATCCATATATCTACGCATACATGCTCGTCAGTTAAGGGTATTTCTAACGTGGCCCATTTTCAAAATATCGCCAATTTGGTCGATAAACTTTTTCTAGGGCGTCCCTTCCCGACTCTGCCGTTCAAATCTGCCATATAAATTTGCTTTGTCACTCTTTCCTCATTCATTCTTTCTACATGACCAAACTACCGAAGCATTCCTTTCTTAATCCTGGTCGCAAAATCATCTTGCATACCACATTTATCTCTTATCACGCAATTTCCCACCTTGTCATTCAGATTCAACCCTAGCGTACTCCTTAAAAACCGCATTTCTACAGCATTTATTCTACTTTCGTGCTTCTTCTGCCACACCCAGCTTTCACTACCATATATTAAAGTAGGGACTAACACAGAATTATGAATTACCATACGTGCCTTTTTTGACACATTCTGGTTCTTTATAATAGAGTGTAGTGCCCCATTCACTCTATTTCCTGCATTTACTCGTCGTTCTATATCCTTATCATATCTACCATCCCTGCTAAATACACATCCCAAATACACAAACTCATCCACTTGCTCAATTAATTCTCCTTCTATTCTTATTTCACATACCGTTTTGCTTTCTTCTCTTTCAAAACCATCACTTTCGTCTTAATTGCGTTCACTTTCATTCCCCTTTATTTTAATGCCCAGTTCATTGACGTAGCCATCCTTTGCAACTCAGCCGCCGATGACGCAAATATGACTTGATCATCGGCATACAAAAAGCATTTGACGGTTAACTCGCCCATTCTTAACCCACATTCTTCATCTTTCAAAGTTTGCAAACACCTGTCCATAAATAGGTTGAACAGCGAAGAAGGAATCTACACAGCGCTGTCTGACACCTTTTTGGATGAAAAACCAGTCCGAGTAGACCCCATTAATCCTGACACAAGCACTAGAGTCCCTATAAAGAGACCTTAATACCTGTATCAAACCAGCGCTCAACTCATATGAGTTTAGTGTTTGCCATAACACATTCCTGTCCACTCTGTCATAAGTCTTTTCCAAGTCCATGAACGCACAAAAAACGTTCTGGTTTTTGACCAAAAACTTCCCCGCAATTATGCGCATGGAAAAGACTTGATCTGTACACCCCATTCCCTTTATAAAACCCGCTTACACATCCCAAATTTTTGCATCAGTTTCTTTCATAACTCTTTCAATTAACACCTTAGCATACAGTTTACCCACAATACTAAGCAAGCTGATACCACGGTAGTTTTTGCAGTCCTGCTGTGACCTTTTTCCTTTATATATTGGTACTATAACTGCTTTACACCAGTCATCCGGTACCCGTTTTAATTCCCAACATAAATTAAACAAGGTGTACAGCAGGCCTGCCACCACTCCCTCTCCAGCCCTTAGCATCTCGAGTGATACTCTATCATATCCAGCTGCCCTACCTGCTTTCATGCTTTTCATTGCTTTCATTATTTCATCTACACTTATCTCCATACCCCTTTCCACTTCCTTTAGAATTTCTAGTTCATTTAATTCAAACAACTTTTCACTTATAAACACGCTTTCAAAGTATTCCTTCCATCTGTTTAAATTCGAAACTTCATCATTCAGAATACATACATTCTCGTCTCTTATAGCATTAATTATAGGCTGTTTTGTATTTCCCCCTGGCAGTTCTTACAAGTTTCCAGAACATTTTTATGCTAGCCTAGAAATTATCAGATATCCTTCTATCATTCTTATACGTTCTTTCTTTCTTTTTCCTTTCAACTACTTCTTTTACTCTCTTATTTAGGCGTCTAAATTCTGCATTTTTTCTTTCAATCTCATCATTCATACCACTAGAGTTAGCAGCTTTGGTTGCTAGTAAATCTAACCATGCTTTCTTCTTTGATTCAACTTCCACCCGTACCTCATCATCCCCCTACAACGTATTACTTTTCCTTTCATTTGTTCTCTTACTTACCCACAAACTTCGGTGGCTGCATCCACCAAACCTTTCTTAATATTATCCCACACTGTATTCAAGTCTAAATCACTCATACACAACTCATTCAAACCTCTAATATTTTCTCTCAGTCTACATTTATACTCCTCTTTCACTTCTTCATCTTGTAAATTCTCTATTCTTATACGCTGTAACGCAGTGGTAGACACAGATATCCGATGCCGCCAACGCTTGAAAAGACCATTAATTCGACATAAGACCAAGTAATGATACGTCCCTACGTTGGACCCCCGGTAAACCCTTGTATCTACGACTGCGCTCCTCATTCTTTCATCCACAATTACAAAATCTATCATGCTTCTATCATCACCTCTTTCCCAAGTATACATGTGAATCTTCTTATGACGAAAAAAGTATTCGTCACAGAAAGATTCTATTCCACACATACGGTGAGGAGTTCTTCCCCATTCTCATTTATACTTTCATCACCAAACGTTCCCAATATCCTTTCATAACCAGACCTCTTCACCCCAACCCTTCCATTAAAGTCTCCTAACATAATAATATTTTCATTTTCTTTACATTTTGTCAGCACCATTCTTACCATGTCTCAAAACTGCTCTCGGATGTAATTTGGCTTAGACATGTCTGGGGCGTACACACCTAGCAGGAAAATCTTCTTTAAGCCCACTTTCATTTGTATCCATAGCAGCCTCGGGCTTACACATTCATACTCTTTCACACATTGACCCATTCTTTCTGAAAGGATGAAACCGGCTCCCTGGCATGCCCGTTCGTTCTCGTCTACACTAGACCAATACGCGGTATACGTGCCATGTGCACTGGCATCGTTTCCCTTTCGTTTCGTCTCATTTACACATAACACATCCTCTGTCATTTATCATTTCCATACTTCATCCATCTTATCATTCATTCCTCCACATACATTCAGCATAGCCAGAAGGGTTTCCGCAATCCACTTTTCGCCCCCTCGGCAGACAGAACGTGACGGTGACGTAACCTCGTGTATATATATATATATATATATATATATATATATATATATATATATATATATATATATATATATATATAGTATATATTCTTACAAAGGTACTACACATTAATTTAGTTTCTGTTTATTTTACTCTGCACTTATTAATGAATGGATCGTTAAAGTAGAACATTAAATTCAAATTAACGGCTACGTGGCTCTGTGACTTGGAAATGAGTTGCAGCGCTGAGGACCGTGGGTTCGAATCCCGCACAGAACAAGTATTTGTATAACCTTAAAAATAATTGTTGAGCGTCTGCGTCTATGTTTGAATACTGCAGCCACGATACAGGAGAATATCCTATTGTGGGGGTAACGATTTAAAAAAATTATGTACATTATCTTTATAGTAAAATGTGGATAACGGTGTTGATTGTATGGTTTGGTTTTAGTGATAAGATTATATTATACAACCCCAGGAAATATGTAATTGAAATGTCTTCTCAGATACACAGGTTTGCTTACGATGTTATCTTCATCTAGTTTTGTCATGGTAAAGCCATGCTGCTGTGTGTTTTTGCTGCAACACGCATGAGTCAGCTTGACCAAAAAATTACCACACCCTCACAGAATACCAGTGTAAAATAGCAGCTTAGTGTGAACAACTTGAGACGTTATGGTAATGAGGCATTCCATAGAAGCTTTCATGGGTGACAACTGCGTTCAAAATTTTGAAACGATTGTAGATATAGATATCTATGGGCCATCGCGTGTACTTACCATCAGGTGGACAGTGTGCTCGTTTGTCGTACTTTAAAAAAAAATGAAATTGTAAATTTCATCGTCAAGCAAGTAGCTAGTCAGCAATTAAATTTGCAGATGCTATTTTATTGGTGCCGGCGGATTGGTTATTTCCGTTATCAGTACGGCCTTATCCTATAAGACATTATATAAAACATATTTATTAGCACTTACTTAACAAGCGTTAGAGGATATATTGACGAGACCAAACGACTTAAGAATCCAATGGCACCCATTTTCGAGTCGAGATTCACTGAAAAGATTATTAACTTTTAGTTTTACATTTTCAATAGTCTATAACTTAACAAAATGCTTATGGCTAAGGTCATAAAAAAATGTACTTTTCAAAAGTTTTGAGTGATTTGAGAGAGTGAGTGCCCATGTTTGATTGTGAATACCATACGGTAACAAAAAGTATGATAATATTATTAATTAATAAAACATTGATAATCATGTTTAGAATAATGTAGAAATAACCAGAATATTCAAGAGGCTTAAACATAAAAAATTAAAAAAAATATTTTTGAATCAATAAAATAAAGCTGCATACAAAATTTATTTGTCTCCGATCAACTTAAAGGACGAAAAAATGCAACAAATGAAATAATATAGCATTATGATTTTAAAATTGTAGTTTACTTTGAAAGCAATAAAGATGCCGTATGATAATGTATAAATTATTGCAATAATACAATGCTAGTGGAAAAAATTCTTATTCTAATTTGTGTCTCCAAAAGTTATCCAGTGTGTTACTCCGATTCGATATGGGGTAGATTTTTAGTTTTCAACATTAAACAACATTATTTACCTAATTTCGATGAGGCAACGCCGTAGGCTTACTGTCAAATGTCAGTTTTGACATATTTTTTTCATTTGTAGTCGTGACCGTAAATAATTGTAAATTCCATAATTTAGAGCACAAATTTCTGGCAGCGTATATGTGAATTCTACGTGAGAAGTACAAAGATATCGTTTACTAGGTTACTGATTCGAAATTTATAGTCTATTACCAGTGTATGTCAAGTTTTATTGAGTAAACCACGCGTGATTTATGACCAGTTTGTTGAGTTTTGAATTTTCGAGTGTGTGTGTTCCAGTTTGTTACGTGTGTTTATGGTGTTTGTTATGTCACACACTGGAATGTTATAAAGGAAGCTGTTTACATAACTTAAACGACTAAGGTGAAATGAAAAAGGTGTAATGTTATTCTGACGTACCTACATAAGAGTGGAGTGTTACACTATTCCGATTTATTATTACTAGTGGTCCCTCAGTAGCCGAACTAGGTCCGTTTTTAATTAAGAGGTCGTCTTCGCCTTTCGTCAACTTTTCCACTCGCACAGGTCCATATTATAAAAAAATGTTTAAATGATAAGAAGCATTTTTTTAATTTTATTAATAGGCAAAATATAAATAAGTTATTATTAAAAACAAATTTTTAATGTGGCTTTATTATATTTGTATGCTGAGTTTATTAGATAAACACAAAAAGTTTTTTAATCATTACTTATTAAATTAATAAGTACTATATTATACTTCGCCTATTGATTACATAAAAAACGCATTTTTAAATTTCAATTTCTTCTTAAATATGGCTCTGTTCGAACGCGAATAGTGTCAAATGGGATAGCCTATAATTAAAAAAAAACAGTAAAACAAAATTCTGTAATAAATGGTAATAATTACAATATACGTACTAATTGTAAATTGTAAACACATATTTGTTAAATTCGTTATATTTCTTTTATGAATAACCTACTTTGACTAGTACCTACTGTTGTTAGTAGGCACATTATTTTGTTAAAAGCTTTAATTCTACTGTAGCACAACAGTTTTACAGTAGAATTATATTTGGTGTTTAGTTTCGCAAATATGCAAACTGTGCATAGTCTAAGATTCGTTTTTGATTATTTAATCTCAATTTCATGAAAATAAGTAATTGATAATATTTTAAAATGGATTTTACTTGAACCTATTTCCAAGTGAACATTGACCTTTATATTATTCCAGTACTTTATTGTGTTACCGTGTGTTATATCTTCCAGTGCATTATTTACACTTTTTTACGACCTTACCCTTATATGCCATTTATTTTCTTAAGCCTGGTAACGTATTTTACCATCAACCTCTTTGAAACCTGGTTATTTAATATCTGCTCTGGTAAAAAAATAGGCTTATATTTTCTATATGCACTTTAAAGATATTTGCTATAGCTATGAGCTATAAGGGTCATTATTATATATTTACCTTTATGAATATTAAAGAAAGATGCAATGAATATGCATTAATATGCTAACCGAGGTTACTGTTGCCTTCCGTTGCGCCATAAAACTCAAGGACCCTCTCAACACCGAACCTGTCAACGAACTCTTGCCAAATCTGTGGCCTCAAGCCATTGCCGACGATCACTTTCACATTGTGTGCTCGGTCGTGCGGTCCCTTCGGCACGGTCAGCAAGTACCGACAGATCTCGCCTATGTACTGCGAAACCTAAGTGACACAAAAAGTTTTCATTACTTATTCAGATATTAAAAATATTATTATATATTGTATAAGATCGTTGATTATCGTTTACTTAAAATAATTATTAATTACTTCTATACCTGTCTTATTCTATGGTCATTAAATAAAAAGGGAGCATTTTTGGTATCCCTTAAATTGATGTTAATGATTAAGGTTTAGTTTCACGAATAGAATACTTTTCATCATATATCGTTCGCAGTTTAGCACGTAAGGCCTAACCTCAAATCTTTTAAATTTTTTCAAAAACATCAAACCTAAATTCCACGGACCGATATATGGTAAGCAGCATTATAGTTACCGTTACGGTTAGAGCCTATCAAATACGAGTATTTACTGTTGAACATATGTCTACCACATAAGTTACCTCATCGTTGGGATATATTTTTTAATAGGATAGGGTGACCAACGAGCACACAGTCCACTTGATGGTAAGTGGTTGCTGCGGCCCATAGATATCTTTGTCACCCGTGAGGACTAAGATGGAATGCCTCGTTTCCAGTAAAAATGGTTTCCAGTTCTCTACACTCACCATACGAAATACAGCAGCATTAAGCTACTATTTCATGCTGGTATTCTAGAGATAGATAGATAGAGAACGTGGTCCTTCCCCGGTCGAGCCGACCCCTTCGTGCTACAACTATACTACTAATATGTAACAGACTTGGCAAGCTGGTTGTCAACTGCAGTTTATTTTATTGTAAGTTGTTACTCCACAATCTCCCCTTCTCCAAACACACCGACAACTCATCCCAAGTAACGTCAACCAATAAATGCGTGCCAGAGCGGCATAGGTCTAATAAGGCCAAAAAAAATGGAAGAGAATGTTAACCAACCGTGCATCCGTACTTAGCCGCATCGCTCCAGTAATTCGAGGCGGAAAACTTCTTCCTCAGTACCACAGTGCAACCGAGAATGAGGCACTGGCCGGCTCCCAGTACTCCACCTGCCGTGTGGTGTAGAGGCAGTGGATCGTAAATGATGTCTCGAGCTGACAGACGACCCGAATTATGCACTCCTAGTGGTATTAAGAGGTATCTGGGAAGAACCATCAAGATATAAATATAATTATATTATGATGACGTATTTATTAAGACTATTTACGGATTTTATCGCGTTTAAGTGACTTATTTTTAATTCCAGACGATTCGGGTGCCTACAACACACATGTTCACGGGAAGGGGGGGGGGGACTCAGATGTTTGACGTCCCGATGTCATTGTTTGCCCGGCTACCTTCAGTTTTTTTAATATTAGTTTTTGGTCTGATCTACGCAGAACGAGTTTAGTATCTCGAAGTCTTGCAGTGGTAGGCTTGGATTCGATTTTAATTTTGTTAATTATAGGATCCCAAGTAGATTGTAGCAACCATTCATCTTTTCTATTACAATTTGGGTATGTTTTAATTTCAATGGCCGCACGTATCAACCTTAGTAGGAATCGATGTTCTTTTGCGAGGATTTGTGGTCTATCAAATCTGATATAATTGTGGGGACGATCTTCAATATGTTCATAGATTGTTGACTTCCTAGAGCGTCGTTGTTTCACGTCACCTATATTCCTATACGTACACTATACACACTATACGAGGCTGTGTATACAAGATTCTAAGGACACTTCATTTATCCTTTGTCACCATCAATTCTATAAACAAACCGAGAGTAACCCATTGCGCAAGAAATGTAATATTTTAGAAATTTGCGACCAATCAGATGAAACGAATCGCCATTGTGCTAAAACTATAGCATCTGTGGTGTCTGTAGTGATCGTCGGCAGCGCTATAGACCAAATCCGCCGCTGGAGTCAGGAAGAATCGTACTTTAGGGCACGTTAAGATCGCGTCTTTCTTACGGAGAAGAATAAGAGTGCTTTAACCCCTACTGAGGATAAGATATTTACTGTAGAAAGTAGAATTATATCACGAAGTGCCTTGTCTACAGTTATTGTTTTCCATAGCCAAATAGTAGTAAATCACTACACTAGTCTGTAATAGACCAATGTTTTCCATAGGTTATATTCATATAACTCTCTAGCTCACTAGAGGGGAGAGACCACGTTCTCACAGAACATCAGCGTAAAATAGTAGCTTAATGTTGCTGTATGTCGTATGGTGAGTGTAGAGAACAGGAGACCCTTTTTACCGGAAGCGAGGCATTCCAACTAAGTCCTCACCGGTGACAGCGCATCAGAATTTCAGGGCCACAGCAACCACTTAACATCAGGTGGACTGTGTGCTCGTTTGTCACCCTGTCTTATAAAAAATACCAGCGTAAAATAGCAGCTTAAAGCTGGTGTGTTTCGTATGGTGAATGCAGAGAACCTTAGACCCTCTTACTGTAATCCCATTTTAATCCTCATTGGTAAGAATTATATTCTTTTGATTCAGATAAATGTGGATGTCTTTGGGCCACAGCATATACTATATCTACTAGTACAAATACGTGATGTAAACACCGTGATCGATTAGAATGTACTTCAATCACATTTCCCATAGTCGTTATTTACAACACCCAATAGTCTTTTTAGGTTTTCTTCTTAAGCTACCACTACTCATCACGTAATGTTCATCATCATCTAGCAGTACAGCTCATTACAAGTCCACTGCTGAACATAGACCTTCCCCAAGGAATGTCCCATAACCCTGGCCTGAGCCACCTGCATCCGTCATTCTATCTATTGGGGGATCACCCTAAAATTCCCCCTACACTTGGCTTTATGGAGAGGGCTATGCTCGTGGTTTCTCTGTACGATAAACTAAAACGCACCTTATATTAGTAATTATAGCGGCTTTGGGGAACCCAGTCGTGCCACTTGTGTATATGTACATTAAGGTATCCCTCGGCTTCGCAGGCTCTACGTCTGTAAGAGCATCACTTGACATCTCTGCAAGTTCTGTTGCTAATGGCGCAGTACCCTGAAGGATAGAAGCTGAAGGACGGTCTGGCGAGTTAAATTGGAACAGTGGTATATCCCGAATTTCATGTTGTATTTCTTTTATGGCTGAAAAAAGTTGAAAATAATTTACTAGAGGGAGTGGTTACAATGGAAGGTAGTAGGAAAAGAGAAACTATTAATGTTTGAGGTTCAATAAACGGTCCACGGATAACAGCGTTAGAGGCGCAAAACGTTCGATACAGCTGACTTGCCGTGTGGTAATGGAGGAAATTCTGCAATATCAGGTAGTGAACTATTCGGATTTTTTTACTACTTTTTGCCATCTGCAGATTTTTATTATTTTCGGTTGTTATAAGGATGATGCTGCTGCTCCTCACTTGTTTCTTCACATTCTTAATATCCCTTTCTAATTTTTATTCATTATAAATATAGCTATTATTTACTTTATTCTTATTATCCCATTCTTATTTATTGTTTTATATATTTAATCAATTCAAGTATATAACAGGCTCCCTTTAATTCTCTTATGATCTGTATTTCGTATGGTAAGTGAAGGGATTCGGAGACCATATTTCTGAACTCATCTGCATTTTGATTCTTAATCTTGGATAAATGGATGCCTATCTTTGGTTCACTTACTATTAAATGGAATGTGTGCTCATTTATCACCCTAATATTTTTTTTTAAATTGGGCAGCTCGCTTTGAAAATTATTAAAGCAAACAGCGTGACTGAGGTCTCTTATAATATTCTTAACTTAAGGATTTTGATTTAATTTAGAGAGCCAAGATTATTACAGGCTTTGAGGTATTTATTTCTAATCTTCTGGGCTGACAAAACACTTTAGGCTTTTTTGTTTTAAGTTTAATGCAGGTGTCCATAAGATCTAGAAGTATATACATATACGTAACGCCTATAATTCCAGAAGTAGTAGTCGAAGTAGAAGTAGAGTCTAAAGAGCAGTGGAACAATCAGACTACGTTTAACTAAAAATTAAATGATAGGCAACTATCATTTAATATTTAGTAAACAATCTCGAGACGGCAAGGCCGGATCTGCTCTTTCTGACCGAGACGCAGGTGTCCGCTCCGGTAAATGTCTCGTATCTCTCCTACCCGGGGTACAAACTGGAATACTCCTTTATGCCTCGGGCTGGAGTTTGCATTTACGTCAGAGAGGACATCTGTTCTCGACGCCTCGGCAGACTTGAAGGTTCGGACCTGTCCATCCTTTGGCTACGCGTAGACAGCGACGACCATCCGCGCGTCTACGGGTGCCTTAGCGGTAGCTTATAGGTCCCATAGCGGTAATGCCGAAACAGACCGACTCTTCGACCACGTCTAAATGGCTAAAGATTCTTTGCTACAGCAGATCCCCTCCGCAGAGATCGTGATCCTCGGCAACTTTAACGCCCATCACACCGAATGGCTTGGTTCACGTTTAACCGATCATGCGGGGAGATCTGTTCATGATTTTGCCTTGGAATATAGTCTGACACAACTGGTTACTTCGCCTACGCGGATTCTAGATGTGAAGGATCATGCATCTTCCCTGTTGGATCTTCTGCAGACCTCTCACCCGGACGGATATCAGATTCCGTCGACGCCCCTTTAGGCTCCTCGGACCATTGTCTTGTTCAGAGTGTGGTGCCACTCACGCTGAAATCGCAGTTGCATTCTGCAGGCTGCCGCCGTGTTTGGCACTATAGGTCAGCCGATTGAGACGGGATGCGGTCTTTCTCTGCATCCTACCCTTGAGGCGGGTTTGCTTCTCGCCGGACGATCTCAACGTTATTGCGGATTCTATCGCTGATGTGGTACTTGAGGGTATGAAACTTTTTATTTCTTCCTCTGTGGTGCCCATTGGAGGCAAATCTCAGCCATGGTTTGGTCACTCCTGTAAAATAGCATCATGCATTAAGCAGGAGTGCTACCAAGCCCGGGCTGACGCATCAACATCCCGGGATGTAAACACCAGCGCTCTAAAAAAGAAGTATAATTCCGCATCTAGGTAATTCAAAAGAGTCATTGCCAAGGAAAAGTCAGAGCACATAGGCAGAATTGGCGAGAAACTAGTTCGCCGTCCTTCTGGAACCCGTGCATTCTGATCTCTCGCCAAGGCTGTCCAGAGGAATTTCTGTCAGCCATCTCTTCCATCTCTGCACAGGGAGGATGACTCACTGGCCCTAACCGCAAAGGAGAAAGCCGATCTTCTAGGCTCTTTATTTACGTCCAACTCGACTCTCGATGACGGGGGAGTACGCCGCCGACCATCCCGCGGTATAAGTGCTCCATGCCGGAAGTGCAGTTCACACAGCGCTCGGTTCGCAAAGCACTCCTCTCCCTGGACATCCACTAGTCGAGTGGGCCTGACGGAATCCCCCCAATTGTGCTGAGGACGTGTGCTCCAGAGTTGGCACCGGTTTTAACGCGTCTTATCCGGTACTCCTACCCCCTAGGCGTAGTCCCAAAATCATGGAAGACGGCTTTCGTCCACCCGATCCCTAATAAAAGGCGACCGCTCAGACCCGTCCAACTACCGGCCCATCGCCATTACCTCCTTGTTCTCCAAAACAATGGAGTCCATTGTAAACTGCCAGCTCATGAGGTACCTTGAGGATCACCAGCTGATTAGTGACCGCCAATACGGTTTTCGCCGTGGTCGGTCAGCTGGTGATCTTCTGTTTTACCTAACTCACAGATGGGCGGAGGCAGTAGAGTCCAAGAGGGAGGCATTGGCCGTTAGTTTGGACATTGCGAAGGCCTTCGATCGGGTTTGGCACAAAGCGCTTCTTTCGAAGCTCTCTTCCTATGGGCTTTGCGTGATCACCGCTTTTTGAGAACCAGCAGTTTGAAATTGTGCGATTGGATCACCAGCTTTCTTGCAGATCGGGGCATCAAGGTCGTTGTAGACGGTGCAAGCTCCGATTGCAAGCCTATTAATGCTGGTGTTCCACAAGGCTGCGTGCTATCGCCAACAGTGTTTCTTCTGCATATCAATGATATGTTGCAAACCCGTAACATTCATTGCTATGCAGATGACAGCACTAGTGATGCTCTTTACACCGGCCGAGCCAATATTTCTCGGAAAAACGTCTCCGAGTGCCGGGACAAACTTGTGTCTGAAGTCGAGTCTTTGCTGAACAAAGTCTCGGATTGGGGGCGACTAAATCTAGTCCAGTTTAACCCCCCGAAGACACAAGTTTGCGCGTTTACCGCTAAAAAGAACTCTTTTGTCGTATCTCCTCAGTTTTAAGGCACTCTCCTTGTTGCCTCAGCCAGTATCGGAATCCTCGGCGTCGACATATCGAGTGACGTGTAGTTTCATGGTCACTTGGAAGAGAAGGCCAAATTGGCCTCTAAAAAGCTTGGCGTGCTCAGCAGAGCGAGACAGTATTTCATGCCGGCACAACTCCCGCAACTTTACAAGGCGCAGGTTCGGCCGATCATGGAATACTGTTCCCATCTCTGGGCTGGGGCTCCCCAGTACCAGCTCCTTCCACTTGACCGCATCCAGCGCAGAGCGGCTCGAATCGTCGACGACCGAGTACTTTCCGATCGGCTCGATTCACTGGCATTGTGAAGAGATGTTGCATCTCTTTGCATTTTCTTTCGCATATACCATGGAGAGTGCTCTGAGGAATTGTTCGGATTAATCCCAGCCGCCAAATTTCGTGAACGCACTACGCGGCAAACGTCCCGATACCATCCACACCATCTGGATGCTTGGCGGTCCACCACTGTACGTTTCAAGAGGAGTTTTCTTCCGCGTACAACCTCTCTATGGAATAGTTTACCACCAGCGATTTTTCCGGACCGATAGGACCTGGGGAGCTTCAAGAAAAGAGCGTACTCCTTTCTAAAGGGCCGGCAACGCAACGCACCTGCAATTTCCCTGGTGTTGCGGTTGATCATGGGCGGCGGTAGTCACTTAACATCAGGTGAGCCGCATGCTCGTTTGCCCCCCTCTTCTATTAAAAAAAATATCCCATCGCCTACACATCACAGGAAAATGTTATATTAATCGCTTTTTACGGCGTGCTAGTCAAGTAACGCAGTTCGCGCATTCTTTCTTATTATAATTCCTCGTAAACATAGACCTAGAAGTGCCAGACTATTTGGACTGGACTATTGCAGGCTATCCTCGTCAAATTGTAAAAATGACCTAACTCGTAAAAATAACGTAATACTTTTCGAAACAAAATCTACATTATTTTACTTACTACGGATACCGCTAAAGCTTATTAAAGTTCACTCCTGAACGTGGGTTATGGGAAGTAATATATGGGGGAAAATTATAGAATACTATAATACACAATAGAATGGCTATCAACTTTCATTTATACGAGGATTGGCGTCGCCAAACCCGATTCACTGTGTTGACAGACAGAGTAAATTTACACATTTCAGACTTTTGATTAATGTTCTAGATCATCATTAAATTTTAATACATTTATTTTTAAATAGGGTGCAAATTGGCATTGTCTAGAACGATTGTGGGAAACGATTGTAACGTCAAAACAATATTAATATAATCTACGCGGGCCCGCCCACCGAAAACAAAACGTGCTACGCTTGTCAAGCGGGTTGGTAGCCAAAGTTTTTAATGTTTAATCGTTGTTAGGTAGGCGCTGCTGCCCATTTACTGATTAGTTTTCCTCTGCCGCCTCTTACGACACCCCACGAGTGGTGGATATTTTTACACCATCACCACACGAAAAGGTGATGTTACTTACTTACCACCGGCCATTTCATCACCAAACACAACAGCCTTACAATCAGCAATCTTCAGGCAGTGGATCAATTGTGTGCCTCTGAGATTTGTGTTCACCAATGCCGTGGTAACCCTGATCTTGGCCAAGCCGAGCCAAATAAACACATACTCCGGCTGAGTTTCCATGAATAGTGCGATCACCTCACCAGTCTTGAAACCTTGGCGCTTGAAGTACCAAGCGATTCGATTGCTAAATTCATCACCCTGAAAAAAAAAGAGATTTTATTCCATATTAATACTTTCAGAAGTACATTATAGAGTTTAAATTTGTAGATTGTTAAACATTTTAAAACAATACCGATTTTAAAACGGATTTTATTAAAATTTAGTTCAATTCCTCCACAGCTATAGAGTATTCAAAAACAAACTATGCTTAAGTATACTTTAAGATACAGCCTATTAAAGTTCACTGCTGAACATAGGCCTCCTCCACAGATCGCGTCGCAGAAAGGATTTTTCGCGCTTGTTGACTTTAACTCTCAACCCCCACGTCGCCTTTCTCCCCTAGCGGTCTCATGAGGTCGCACCCACCACAGCACTTTAACCCATAAAAACATATATAGAGACTACTTTTCTATGAAGAAGTTTAGCATTATATAATTAATATGAAATACTCTATCCTCTAGTCCTATTATCCTTTGAATATTTATTTATAATCTACGTTTATTTCGTACGCCACTTAGCGTGAATGTTGTGTTGATTTTTGGATTTTTCTAGTGTTTTATATAGTGTTTTATTATAAAACTGTAATGAAAGTTTTTGTTTGGATATAATTTATCTTTAAACTTAAATAATTTCAAGTAATATATATTGAAATAATTGTGATTTTCACGCTGCCGACATTCGCTTGGTATGTTTTTTTATCATCAAAATACAATAAAATCTTTTTGTAATGAAGTAAAACCAGACTTTTGTTTAGACCACAAGATAGAGAATTTTGTATAGATTTTATAATGCTAAACTTCTTCGCAGAAAAATAGTCTCTTAATATAAGTTTTAATGGTTTTAAATGATGTGGATGGGTGCAGTCGCATGCGACCGTTCGGGATTTGCCGAGCGCATGTGACTGCACGGGATTTTTATGGCGCTTGAAGGGTTAAATAACTTTCACATAATTTGACGATTAAAAAAAGACCTATCTAAACGTCAGTTCAATTCCATTAGAACTGATAAAAACCCACTGCTGAAAATAGGCTGCCCTCAAAGATTGCTTCATAGGATAGATTTTGCCACAGCTGCACGCTTGTTACCCCTAAACAATTTCCACATGATTTAATAGCTTCTAAAGTCGGAACTTTAATTGTTCGATCACTTTGTCTTAGCACCCTTCAGATCTAAGCAATATTTAAACTAAAGGATAATAACTGAAATGTTTCCTGTGCTTCAGTTTCATCTTCTATTTTAAACTTTTAGGGATGGAATTTTTTCTTGGGTCCCATTAGATTTTGAAGAAAAAATTCCATTCTCTTGAGGTATTGTAATAAAAGAAAATGATAGAAATCGGATGACAATTGGAGCAAATATCGTTTTTTATAAAACAAACGAGTGCACAGTCCACTCGATAGTAAGTGGATACAGTGGCCCATAGACATCTACATTTATCCTTGATTAAGAAACCAAATGCATGCAGTTGCGTTGTTACCCGTATAATCTAAGATGGTATGCCTCATTTACAGTATAAAAGGGTCTCTAGATATCTACACTCACCGTACGAAACACAACAGTATTAAGCTGCCATTTTACGCTGGTATTCTGTGAGAGCGTCCTTCCCAGCTCGAGCCGACTCATTCATGCTACAACGATAACATAGAGAGCAGCAACGTGGATCTACCACGTATATATACATACAAAAAATAGATCAGTTGAGAACCTCTTCCACTTTTGAAGGCAGCTGAAAATTGAGCCATTTTTTACCACAGTCCCATCTGATGGTAAGGTGTTATGAAACCAATATTAAAATAGGTAATATTTTTTGATACATGAGCAAATGCTTATGTATTCTTGAAGAATTTATTGTATTTTAGTGTAATACATGAACAAAAGACAAGCATAACACAACGGCTAAGTGCACGGGCATAGGAACTCTAAAGTATAAGATCTAATCCATCATGTGATTCATATCGTGAAGTACCTCTACGCAATCATTTTTAGCTCACATAGCTACGAAAACGTTAGTAATATTTTAACAATGTTTTTGTTTGTTCTTGAAACAAAATTATCCCAACACTAAAAATTTCTCCGTTATTGAGGAGACGTGTTGCATAAATAAACAGATAGTTCGAACTGACTTAACTTAGCAAAAGCTAGTTCTCGCTTACCATGAAGATTCCCAAATTATTACCTAATGGGATAGCCAAATGATAAATTATAAGATAACAATCTTCTAGACAAAACAAATATATTTTGTAAGTGTCACTTCAATCAGTCAAGTTGTTCAGAAGTTGATGACAGAAACTGATGACCAACGATTATAAAAGTAAAAATTATATAATATAATAAATAATAATATTATAATAAACAGTTATCAATATTACCTCACGAAATGTCAAACAACTTTCCCCCATAACAAATGCTTTCTTGTCGGGTCTCATTTTGGCAACCTCCGCCCATCTGCTGACCACGGTGATGCCACGCCGTTCCCACACCCATATCCTGAACATTGTGGCGAGGAGAACACGTAGACCACTGAAAATGAAAAAAAGATATAAATGTAGATGCAGAAGTATAATCACTTTCTTTTTCGGACTGGTCCGTTCTATTAGATGCAGGTAACGTGTTCCGGTCTGAAGAATATATAGAACAAGAATAATAACAGATGGTGAGACGTTTCATCTTAGTCCTAGGACAAGGGTGGTGAAATTTTTATGTATTAACGTGCCATTTTTCTAAAGAAATGTTTAATTAGGTATTAGACGTGCCGTAAAATAATTTTGACTTCGTGATTATGGGGAAAATAATAATACTAAATACTATCGACCCAAAACTCTTTATTTACTAGAAAAAATAAATAAGTTTTGAGTTTAGATAAATGTTTTAGTAATACGCGTAATTCAAATTGAAGTAACAATAGTGTGACTTATGTTGTTGCAGATTTAATGACAAATAACTTGTGTTATCAGTGATTGTTGTATAATTGCTACTAAAATCATTTAAATAATAATTATGTAATTATCTTTTTTATATTATTTTTCGTAATTACAAATATAAAATTGATTATAAGTTATTGTATTGTCATAGATAATTTTCTCAGTTTATTTTTTATTTATTTTGATTTGAGAGATTTGCAAAGAATATTATGTAATAATTTCAGTAACATTTATAAAAGTTGATTCCTTATTTTCATATTATAAAAGTATTTGAATTGTATAATTCTTACACATTCGAACTGTTGCTAGGATCAGTTTTGATAAGTAGTAGGGATATGCTACCACCATTGTAATTATTTAAACGATTGCAATAATGATTGAGTGGCTTTTTCCTGCCGTAATTGTAGTAAAGCAGACCTCGAGTGATCAGGTGTATTATTTATTCCTTTCTGCGAATCCTATAATACTTGTATTGGGGTTGTAAAATCCTAAATACAACACAAATGCATTTTAAATGCAGTTGTGTCAACGGAATTGACTATTGTGCTATGCGTAAACGAACTATGCATTCCTTGGGGTAGCGTGGACTTGTGAAGGGCTGTAATGATGATGATGATATGAAGTATGCGTCATTAACAGTGGTAGTCCATGATGTCACTGGGATCAATCCATTCGTTCCAGTTCGTAATATTATACTTCAGATTGAACTTTGTGATCGGTGGCGTGCCCAAAATATTGTGTCTCAAAATTTGTGCCACTTGTTCGCCATCCCTGTCCTAGGAGGTAACAACTTCCTTTGTTTGAAATTTGCTGGAAGAGTTCTTGGATTGCAGTATCCACTAATTACCATCAGTTGGACTGTAAATTTTTATGTCACATCACTTTTATAGTAAACGCATATTTAATTTACTTTATTTGAAATTTATTACTGGTGTCCGTGGTCTATGGTAGTCGCCCCTTATTATAGAATACGAGCGACGAACAAGCAAACAGTTCACCGTATGGCTAGTGGATACTGTGGCTCGTAGCACCCTACATTTATCTTCAATTAAAAATGAAAACGCAGATGCGTTGTCACCCCTGAGGACTAAGACGAAATGCCTCATTTCCAGTAAAATGAGTCTTCGGTCCTCTACACTCATCATACGAAACACAGCAGTATCAAACTTTTATTAAACGCTGGTTTTCTGTGTGGGCGTAGTACTTCCCAGGTATAGCCGACCCATTCGTGTTACAACTATATTAAGGCTGCAGCATGGATCCAACACCTAAAAACATTATCACGTTGGTAAATTTTTCCGTTTAAGTTACATACTGACGATATTATTATGAATCCGGTAGACAACAAACTACGACGAACATTCTGGAATGGGAAGCTTTCATTGCGTAAGCAGTGTGGCATCCGGCACTAACTATTATAATCAATCAGCATCCGATATGAGGGGACATGGGAGGGGACACCGTCCCAGTTAAGTCAAGAAATAGACATACCAGACATCTTTTGTCGAAGTAGTTGAGTCAAATTGAAACATTTAGGTTTAAATGTAGGTCATTCATGAGATTAAAATATTCCAGAAAATTATTAATAATGAATAAAACAGATTTACCGTGTAGTTACGGTGTAAGGATATGTACTACCCTATATCGTCCCGTGCGTGTCGTAAGAAGCGACAGAGGGAAACTGAACCAGAAAATGGGCAACAGTATCTTTCTGATAAAAACTCAAATTTATATCTACTAAAAATTATATCTATAAGAAATTGGTGAACTTCCATAAATCTTGTAACCACATAAAAAACGACACAGATATCTGTTATATGTAGTCATAGTAGATAGAAGTTTATCGCTGCTTTGACAGATGCTATTGTCTCTCAAAGCCGGCAAAGCGCAAACAAATTATCACATTGGAAAATATCAACTGTATATTAATTTTTACATCTTTCGTTAGCTCCCCTCGGGGACAATTTTCCAAGAGATCAGGGGCCAAGGTCCATAGAGCGATTGCGACAAACACCTCACGCGGCAGTCAAATATTTAATAGAGTAAACGCCTACATCCGGCTAGACTGTCAACGAGGTGCAAATAAAGAATTGGGGCGATGTTGCAACACCTATATTCATGTGATATGGGTGAGTAAATTGATTTATAGCTTGTAAACTATGTTACGAAAAAACCGAGCTCAGCCGACGTGTAAAATTGAAAAACCTTACTTTTAAATTTGTTATCAGGAGGATGCTGCTCCTATAATTTGTTACTTCACCATTATCACTAAACCGTTATAGTCTATCAAATACCCACCGCACGGAGCATATCGCTTCATCACAGCCTAAGAAGAAAGTTAGACGGCTTCGTACGCGACATTGCATGTAATCTCTGACCAATATAAAGTTAATTATTTCTTATACTTACGCAAACAACACATTTAAAGAAAACTAGTTTTTACAGATTTTATCGCGTACATTGATTTTTTTATATATTCTCGACATTTCGAGCACTTTACAGCACCCATGGTCACGGGATGGACTGAGGTGTCCGACGTTCCGACTCCCGATGTCATAGTTAAACGCGGTTACCCACATATTAAAAATAATAATATTTGTTCCGATCTACACGGTCAAAAACTTATAGTATTATAATATTGCAACTGCAGGACTTCAAGAGAAACATCGGGAATATATAAAAAAGTTATTATACGCGATAAAATCTGTAAAAACTAGTTTAATTTAAATTAATATAAAGTTATCTGTGTTATACATTCTGTACAAGAAAATTCACCGGGATAAAAATATGTGAGGCAGTGCGTTGCCTGTGGCAAGAGCATCGATCACTAATGTTTTTTATTAGTGATCGATGGGCAAGAGGCACAGAGCGCAAACATATTGATATTGTATTTATTATACTTAAAGTAGTACTCATATAGAATTATAACATTAAAAAAACCTCAGATTCCGAAGTATGGATATTGGTCTAAGCCTGAAACGGTTTGAAGTTCATAGGCTTATAACAAGTCTGAATTTGGTTTGATAGGTTATTTATATTACTCTAGTAAGAGCTTTTAAACTTATCTTCATTGTCTTGATAACGCAAGAAATGTGATGTACAGTTAAGTGTTTTCTAAGTAAGTTCTCTCACGTAAAACGAGTAAATTAGTATTTAAATTGGTTATGTTTTCTTTCGCCTATCAAGAGTGATGATTAAGGCGTTTGAATTTTATAGACCGATAAAAAACATAGTAATATAGTTGCGGAATAATTTAGCTTCATGATAACAATTTTAGTACAATCGCAAAGAAAAAAGTTCTAGATACATTTATTACTTGACCACCGTTACCGTCACTATACAGCCTGTCAAAATTCACTGCCGAACATAAATCACCTCATTGTTATTTGCTATAGTTGCTACGATTGGCGGGCGGTTGTGCAACCACAGTTTTGCACACCTCGAATGTAAAGCGAGTGTGGCATTGTGCATTGTGGCATTCCTTAAGCGAGAGAAAGCTTCTTAAATGGCGGCTTTGTACTTGTACTTCTACTGATAGAAGAAGTGTAGGGCGACTAGACTAGATAAAGGGACGACCTGGAAAGACATGCAGGAAATCGATGGATGCAGATGGCTTAGGACCGTGCTTTGTGGCAGTCTTTGTAATATGTTCAGAAGTGAACTTGTGGAGGACTGTAATGATGAGGTCGAGAAGGTCTCTCTATTTTATTTTTAACCTCTCAAACGCCAAGCGTCCAAATTTGAACGCTTCGATATTCTGTCAAAATTCAAGAGGTCAAATTTGACCGCACCCACAGCACTTTAATTCATAAATAATTATGTTTAGAGACTACTTTTCTATGAAGGAGTTTGGTATTATAGAATTATTATAAAAATAACGTCACGTTCTGTCTCCCGGAGAGGCGAAAAGTGGATTGCAGAGGCCCGTCTGGCTACGTTGAATGTATGTGGGGCAATGAATGATAAAATGGATGAAGTATGCGATATGATGTATGATAGAGGAATAGATGTGTTATGTGTAAATGAGACGAAAAGGAAGGGGAAGGATGTCACTACACATGGCATGTATACCGCATACTGGTCTGGTATAGACGAGATCGAGCGGGCATGCCAGGGAGTAGGTATCATCCTTTCAGAAATAATGGGCCAATGTGTGAAAGAGTACGAATGTGTAAGCCCAAGACTGCTATGGATACGAATGAAAGTGGGCTTAAAGAAGTTGTTCGTGTTAGGGGTCTACGCCCCAGACATGTCTAAGCCCACTTATATCCGAGAGCAGTTTTGGAAAATAATAAGGATGGTGTTAATGAAGTGTAAGGGAAATGAAAATATTATTATGCTAGGATATTGGAAACGTTTGGTGATGAAAGTATAAATGAGAATGGTAAAAGTCTCCTCACCGTATGTATGGAAAAGAATCTTTTTGTGTCGAACACTTGCTTTCGCCACAAGAGGATTCATATGTATATTGGGAAAGAGGTGACGATAGAAGTATGATAAATTTCATAATTGTGGATGAAAGATTGAGGGGCGCAGTGGTGAATACAAGGGTTTACCGGGGTTCTAACGTAGGAACGGATCATTATTTGGTTTTATGCC